GTACTGATTTTTGAATACTTCAATTACATTGGTACATTTTCGATATAGGATAAGGTGATATGAGGTGAAAATATAGAATTTATGTAATTTTACCATGTAGATTTTAATATATAGAAAAAATATCTAAGGCGGTAAATTTGGATAACGGATAGGAATATTTAAGCTAGGCAAAATCACTAACCAAATTTTATATAAATTGAGTACAAATTTACTCAAGTATTTAAGGTAATTTTGAGTATTTTTTATATTTTTGGTAATTTTAATTTTTTTAATAGGGTGCAAGAATTTTTTTTTTTTTTATAAACCGTGAGAGTTCTGAACCAAATTTTAAATAAATCGAGTACACATCTTATTCGAATATTTAAGCTATGCAAAATCACTAACCAAATTTTAAATAAATTGAGTATAAGTTTAACTCAGGTATTTAAGGTAATTTTGAGTATTTTTTTATATTTTTGGTAATTTTTATTTTTTCTTTATAGGGTGCATGAATTTTTTTTTTTTATAAATCGTGGGAGTTCCGAACTTTTGGCTCATAATCTTCTCGGAATTCGGATGCAATTTTAGATATTCCGATTTAAAGAATAACTCTCTGTCAGTTTGAATCCAGGACACAAAATAACCAGTCTCTTTGTGTTACCATTTGGCCACCACATTTTTGTTGCAAGAAACTTGTTGATTGGGACAAAGTGTTTGATTTTTGGTAATTTTCCGGGAGGGTGCAAGACACAAAGAGAACTTGAAAGAGTGAAGAAAGGGTTCCGATTGTTTACATTTTGGTGATAGCTGGATAGGTGAAAAACAAATTCTCAAAAACGCCGACCTATCCTGCGCTTTTTCCTTCGATGCTCCCTTTTTGTTATGGTAAAACTTTATTTTTCAAGTTCGAAAACTGCCTATGGGCTATGGGCCCTTTGGTTGAAAATTTTCGTCGAATGGTCCTACCTGAACAGATAATTGCTATAATGAGCTCAAGTACAAGTCGTATATGACTAGGGCCATGTATTTAAAATATGTATTCTACATTTTCTTTTGTTGATGAAAATATGTTTTTTTTTTTTGAACAAGGAAATATGTTGTTTGGAATCTTAAGAATCTTATATATGCAGGTGTATTATCTTAGAATTTTTTATTTTGTGAAGACTAACATTAAAAAGTGTTTTGGTGCTCTGTCTTCGTAGTTCAAAACAAAAAAAATTGTTTTTACTGACTAGAAAATTTGTATCACACTTTTTTGTTGCAGATTTCAGACTCGTAATTTTTCTATTTTGACATAAAATGACAAGTTTACATAAATAATGATAAGATTTAGGCTATAGTTATA